TTCCCTCAAAATCTTCACGAAAAAAGGGGTTCTGAGAGGGGGAAATTCGAAGAGGAGGGAGAAACCGAAAGGTTTCAAGTGGGATCGTCGCTCAAGGTTCAGGTTCAAAGTTCTCCGTCCAGATTTCACCGAATCTCTGGAAGTTCGTTCATCTGGTCGCTGCTTGTGTCTTGTTCGAGTTTGAAGTTTCGTCGTTTGGCATTTCATTATGACTGTGTAATTGCTGAAAATTTCAGTTAATTGAAGCTTTAATCTCAGGTCTGTTTTTCTTTCTTTCCTTTTTACTTGCTTTGATATTGAAGTTCAATGTGATTGAATGCCCTGTTTGCTTGGTTTCAACGTGCTCAATCGGAGTCCAATCTGATTTGTGGTTGCATAGATCTCTTGGAGTATTCTTGGTGTCCCCTTTAGGCTTAGACCTGCTTCGAACTTGTTTAATTCATTTTGGTCATTGTATGAAGGATTAGTGATGTGCTCGTCATGATTCTCACGAATATCCCTGTTTGTTTGACTGATTTCGGTCTTAAAATGTAGTTGTAGTGTAATAATAAGTAATTCGAACGATGATCGTGTAATGTTGAAAGAGGATTGTGTAACTACGGATGTGAACAATGACAGAATAGATAATTCAGAGGTAGTTCATTCGCATTTGAGAGGAAGTGATAATTCAAGTTCAAATCTTTTGTTCGGTTTAGCCGAGTTGGTGGAAAAAGCTGTTGGCTTTCAAGTGAATATGTTAGTCTTGTTACTATACTGATTAAGGATCACATTTGGATGGCTTCTTCTTTTTTGTTAAAACATGCCAATAGTTTAGTTGAAGTCTAAGGACAATATGAATTCTTGCTAACTTCACGCTTGATTGATTTGTTTCTACATTGATCAACATTCCATGACTAGAATTTTGTCATTCTTTGTAAGGATTGTGTTTCCCCGTTAACTTAGAAGTTTGTCAGGAAACGAAATGAATCAGAAACAGGAGCTCTCATTTAGTTTTGTTTCATTTGTTTATGTTATTACTTAACTTGTTAGGAATATGCTTAGGCCGACTACACATGGGTAACCAAACTTTTCGGCACGTAAGTAATCATCGTGACTATGGGTACGACTCCCGTGGCATAGTCATGATACATAAATCTAAATTCGGGTGTGCATTTCATGTGACCCGACCATAATTTTGAATAATGATAAAAATACACACGTTTTAGATCGTGGGTACGGTTCCCGTGATGCGATTCACAATGTGTACCAAAATCGACAAGTGTACGACAATCGTGCCTTGTTACAGAAAATATATTCTTAAATAATTAAAAGCGGTAGAAGTTAAAAATGCTTGTAGGTTTAAAATGTATAATTAATCAGATAATTAGGCCAATATTAATAGTTGAGCGACCGTGCTAAAACCACGGAACCTGGGAATGCCTAACACCTTCTCCCGGGTTAACAGAATTCCTTACCCGGATTTCTGTGTTCGCAGACCATAAATAAGAGTCAACTTCCTCGATTCAGGATTTTAAACCGGTGACTTGGGACACCATAAATTATCCCAAGTGGCGACTCTGAATTTGAATAAATAATCCTGTTTCGATTATTGTCACTTTAATTGGAAAAGCTCCCCTATACCCCTTTCGGGATAGAAAAAGGAGGTGACAAGTATCGTTCACACGAGGACTTGTGATTAATTATCGACTAAATTCAACTCAAACAATTAATCCATTCAAGCGATTTTCTAAAATGTGATTATTTAACTAAAACTAATCTAGAATAGTAAAATAAGAAATTAAAGGAAACAAGTTTGCAATCTTAGAGATGAATTCAAATGGAGAAACTATTCCAGAGCTATGGGTTAGCTAACAATCCCGTTGATTTTTTCACTTAAATGGTCTAATTAATTTAAGCTGATTTATTGGTTGACAAGGTTAATATTACTCGTAGTATTCTCCCGAAGTACTTCCCGCCTTTTCAAACTAACCTAATGCCTATATTCCTATGGATTAGGATTAACAAGAACACATTAATTATTCCTGTATAATAACCAAGCAAGGCGATTAGGTATATCCATATCCTAATCGTGAATCCATTCCTCATAATTCAGGTTCAAGATCTTGCTCTACTCAATCCTATTTGCAATCTTGAATTTCCTCTCCCGAGTTTAATCCTAGATTTGTAGATAGTATTAAATTGGTGATCAAGAAATCAAATAATTAAGCGCAAGATTGAATAAATAAACTAATATGATAAATTCAAGTTTCAAACTACAACGTTCATGTAGTACCCACAACTCTAGAACTAATAAACTATGAAATTAAAGGAATAGAAGAGAAGAAAAACTAGTTAGGTATGATAACAATGGACCTTATGTTTCATCAACGAACTGCAAGTAAAAGGCAAAACCAACAAGAAATATCAAACTAGTGACAACATATAACATAGTCCGTTAATAAGTCTGTTATTAAATTTTTTATTTATTTTTTTGAATTTTGACAATTCCAGGCTGAGAAAGTTTATTTTGTGTATCACATGTTTAGTCATACTTGTGTGAGTCATTTCTTTGTTAGACTAGTGGACTTAGTAGGGTCCACTTTCCACGCAATTACACCTAAATTGGGAAAGACTCTTCTCTCCAACCCCCCTCCCCCGCGTTCCTTAGCTTTTTGCGGGCATAGTTTGGGTAAAGCCGAAATTTGAATTATTTGGATTTTTGGTTTGAATTTTCGGATTATGGATTGGGTTTCGGATATAATTTTTATAATTTTTGGATTTCGTATTGGATATTGGATTTGGTACTTCGGATATTCAAAAATCTGAAACTTTTGTATTTTATATGGGATTTTTTCATTCCTATACACTATTTGAAACCTTATTACGAAGAATGTTCATGTTTTGGTATTTACCCTACCCTACCTAAACATATTTTAGCTACAAAATATATACAATCCTCCTTAAAAGGCTCCCAATCCATTATTTGTGCCTTCAATCAAGAGATTTAATTACACCCTTTTCCTTTTTTCTCTCCTCTATCACATTTTCTCTCCAGATTAAACTTATATTTAGGGATTTAGATATAGGAAAACCGAACAATTGAAGCTGCAAAAGTTCCACGAGTAAAACTGTGAAGTAGACAATACAGGAGCCATTGTTGCTGACCTCCGCACACTGCACTGTACAGAAGTGAACTAGTCCAATATTAGTCATATACCCCTACCCTCAATTATGGACTTTATACTAAATACAGAACCGAAATTACCATAACAATATGCTCATCAAAACTGGAAGCAAGAAAATCATAAACCAGAGATATGGACGGAGGGAAAGGGGTTACATCAAGATATTCTTTAGCATCGAGAGGAGGAGCAAGCTCTAATCGGAGACGAGCCCAGATATAATCTCAGCATCTAAATTAAGACCCGTCTCTATCTTGTTACATAGCTCCAGTATTGCTCTTTCCAGCCATTGCCCTGATGATTCCATTCTTTCGCTTTCTCTTCTCTATTTCTGTCTTCCTGCCTCGCTATCGTGTTATATATTATACATTTATCTACAACTTATCTACACTTTCATACATTATCTTTACCCAGTTATAAACAACTACAATATTATATCACTTAAGTACAATTTTTATACAAATTTTATACAATATGTCTTTTGTATATTTTGTATCTGATTTATATATAGTAAAAACAAATTTCACACAACTAATTATATATTATACAACTTATCTACAACTTATCTTCAATTTTCATACACTATTTCTACCCAGTTATATATATTTACAATATCATACAACTTAAATTTTGTATACAATATTGTTCAACTTTCATACAATAGTTAAATAAAAAATATATATAAAAATAACAGAATATAATTTTTCTACAATTTTACTACAATTTTGTAAGTATAATGTATGTCATGTCTTCTTCTTCGAGTTTCAATCTGAAATTCGGCCAAAATCAAGTCTAATCTTCATCAAAACACCCTAAAAATTGAGATAAAAACTCAATACCATATTCCCAATTATTTGCAATAACACCCAATCCAAACAAATAATGATTTTTAAAAATCCAAATTCGAATTCAATGCTTCAAAGCTTTTTAATGGCCGTCAATGGTGGAATTGCTGCTCTGTTTTTCTTTGCTTTACATTACTGGAATTAGGGATTGAGATATAGAGAAATACATAGAGAGAATTCCCAATTGTTTGCAACAATATCCAATTCAAACAAATAATGTTTTTTGAAAACCCAAATTCGAATTCAAAGCTTTAAAGCTTTTTAATGGCTGTCAATGATGGAATTGCTGCTCTGTTGTGCAAGATACGTGTGGGAGGGGGGATAGGATGTAGAGAGAGAAACGGTGGGGGGGGGGGGGGGGAGTGGAAGATATAGAGTGATTTTAGGACACTAATTATTATCATTAATTCCCTTAAAATGTACATAAATGGTAAGTGAGTATATAAAATGTAATTATAGTAAAACTTGAGTAGAGAGGGTAATATAATTTCATATAGTGTATAGGAATGTAAAAATCTCTATTTAGTCCATTATTCATATGCCAATAGTAACAAGTCCAATATCCTAACCATTAGATATATCTCATATATTCAATACTATTTACTAAGTTACTATCAGAATATTTTCTATTTGGACATGATTTTACTATTACTACTTCTTATCGGGCTTACTAATGTTTTTGTTGTATTTTCTTGATGATGATTTTGTTACTTGAACACTTTATTTAGTGGGCGTTTGGACATAAGAATTGTAAAATTCCAAAAAAAAGGTGAAAAAATTTCAAGTAAAAATGGTATTTGAAATTTAGAGTTGTGTTTGGACATGAATATAATTTTGGGTTGTTTTTGAAATTTTGTGAGTAATTTGAGTGAAAATTTGAAAAGCAGTTTTTTGGAGTTTTTCAAATTTCCAAAATGCATCTTCAAGTGAAAATTGGAAATTTTATGAATAAATGTCGATTTCGGGAAAAAAGTGAAATCTTTTAGGAAAAACAAGAAAAATTTCTTATGTCCAAACAGGCTCTTAGATTATTGCGTGAAAAATAAAGAACTTTTACGCAATTTAACATGAATACTTCATTAGATGTTCATTACACTAGAATGAAGAAACATCTCAACTTATAAGCTCAAAACTGAAAATCCGAAATATTCAAACCGATTAATCCGAATCCAAACTTAAAAAATACGATCAAATCCAAGTTTATTTAAATTGGATTTGAATTGTCATTTGTTCAATCCAAAAACCAAAGTCCAAACCTAAATTTTCATATCCAATCCAAATTGCCCAAAATCCCGCCCCTACTTCTTCCTCCTCTCCTCTGCCACCATATTTTTAACGAGGTAAAGTTCATCACAAGTTATCAGTTACTGCAATTATTTCGAAAGAACTTTGGAGTATGTTTTTCTTGCACCTTTTTCGAATTACAGTTTGAAATTTCACAATTTGCTTCAATTCTATGGCTTGCGAAATAGGAAGACCGGTGTAGTTCGGTGACATTTCCGGCCAAAAAGATATTATGTGAAATGCGGAGGAAGTGATTTTATTGTGACCAAATTTAGCTTATTGAGTTTACTGCAATGATGGTATAAGTATTTTTACCTTCGCAGGAGTAAATTCTGTGTACACACTACCCTTCTCCGACCCCATCTGTGAGAATATACTAAGTTTGTTGTTGTTGTATTTTTGCCCTAGGTATTGGGATAGCTGCAACTTTCAAATTACAAGCCTCAGCACTGATTGAAAGATATAGCCCCTTTCAATAACTTCGCCTCGGAGTCCTTAACTTAAGAATATGATCAGAGTGCAAGATGGATGCCAAATTTGGATTCCTAACGGTCAAAGGACTGGAAGATATGTTTATACCCATGTTGAGAAATTGCAAGAGCACGGGTTTTATGAAGAAAATACATGCTCAAATGGTCAAGTTTTCCCTTTCACAGAGTAACTACTTGGTGACCAAAATGGTTGAGATATGTGACAAATTGGGAGAAGTAGACTATGCCAGTTTGCTGTTCAAACAAGTTGTGGAGCCAAACAACTATTTGTACAATTGTATGATCAGAGCCTATACAAACAGACAGAGGTATGTGCCATGTATCAATATCTATAAGCAAATGATGGAACAAACCGAGAGTGAAGAAACAACTTCTCCTGATGAATACACATACCCATTTGTTATTAGGTCATGTGGGGGGCTTTTGTGTGTTAATCTAGGTAAACAATTCCATGGGCAGGTGTGTAAATTTGGGTTTAAGTCTAGCAGTATGATAGAGAATTCTTTATTGGATATGTATGTGAAGTGTGATCAAATGAGTTACGCACATAAATTATTCGAGGAAATGAACGAGAGAGATGTGATTTCTTGGAACAGTCTCATTTCCGGGCATATAAAGTTGCGTCAAGTGAGAAAGGCAAGAGCTTTATTTGAAGAGATGCCAAACAAGACTGTTGTTTCTTGGACAACTATGATTTCGGGATACACAAAAACTGGCTGCTATGGAGATGCCTTGGATGTTTTTAGGAGAATGCAAATGATTGGGATGAAACCTGACTGGATTAGTCTGGTTGCTGTTTTGCCTGCTTGTGCACAACTTGGAGCTCTCGAGTTAGGAAAGTGGATTCATTTCTATGCAGAAAAGTACGGACATTTGAGGAAGACTTCTGTGTGCAACGCACTAATGGAAATGTATGCAAAATGTGGAAGTGTAAACCAAGCTTGGCAGTTGTTCAATGAGATGTCTGAAAGAGATGTGATCTCCTGGAGTACGATGATTGGAGGCCTAGCAAACCATGGTAGAGCTCATGAGGCACTGAAGTTGTTTAATGAAATGCAGAGGTCCGCCGTTGAACCAAATGAGATCACTTTTGTTGGTCTTCTTTGTGCCTGCGCGCATGCTGGTCTGGTGAATGATGGTTTGAGGTACTTTGATTCCATGAAAAATGATTATAACATAGAGCCACGGATAGAGCATTATGGTTGTCTGGTTGATCTTCTTGGGCGTACAGGACGTCCTGAACTAGCTCTTGCACGCATCAAGAGCATGCCAGTGAAGCCTGACTCTGCTATATGGGGTTCCTTATTGAGTTCTTGTCGAACTCATCGCAATCTTGAAATTGCAGTCATTGCAATGGAACATCTATTAGAGCTTGAACCTGAAGATACAGGGAACTACATTCTGCTCGCTAATATTTATGCAGATCTTGGAAAGTGGGATGGTGTATCAAGGATGAGGAAACTCATAAGAAGTAAAAGCATGAAAAAAACACCAGGCTGCAGTCTAATTGAGGTAAACAATGTGGTTCAAGAATTTCTATCAGGTGATGATTCAAAACCATTTTCAAAAGATATCCGTCAGGTGCTAGAGCTATTGGCCTTACATCAAAGCAAAGAAAATGATCTGGTTGATATAACACTTGAGTACTTAAGTCCTTGAACTTATACTTCAAAGCACTTCAGCGAAATGTCATTTTAGCACCGATGAGGAGTGGTCACTCTTCATATGTCCTTTTCGATTCAAGGTTTTTGGTATAGTTTATACCACATTCTTTAGCATCCGGAAGTCCCATGAGGAGTCATAGTACAAGCAATCTCAAATAACACAGAGCTGGAAACCATAATTTGGCACCATCACTTTATATGAGCCAATCAGTCGTCTTGCATTTCATCCTTCCGGAGTAAGTATTTTTTCCCTTTTCCTCAAATTGGTTGAACTTTTAGTCACAACAACACCTTTGTTCGTGTATTATGTTATATTAGTCATTAGACTTGTTTGTTAATGGTCTATGTCATTTTGAACAAATTCCCTTATCTAAATTCTTTAATTGCTGAACTAATTCAAAAGCATTCTGAAATTCCGCTTTCCCGTGTAGAGGTTTAAGTGAAGCCACCGAATTGGAACATGTGCATTTTTTTTAATCCTATTTATCGTTTGGTGGGAATTTGGAGACCTGTATTTCAGGGATAAATTATGTTCAGGTGCTGGAGAGATCCAAAAGTTTGAACTTTTTTTGAAAATGGGTAGAAAGAGAGACTGGATGTGAAAAGAAAAGTTTGAGAGGCTCTTTTCTGCTGTTTTAGTGTGTTTCCTCTCTGGAAACACTGTGTGGTGTAATGTAAGGGGAGGTGGCTTCAGTTTTACTTTTACCTGATAAGGTGAGACACTTCACCTCTGCTGCAACAGTTTCTTCCTTTAGTGACTTCAAAGGAATTGAAACTCTAAAGAGTGAAACGTTGGTGATGCAATTATTGACATAGGAGCTCCTCTGGAAGAAATCTGCTTTCTTGGTCGTGGTGTTCCAACTGTTGATTTGCTATTTATTTTCTCATGTGGCATTAAATTAATGTTTCGCAATAAGGATTATTGTATAGCTGATTCCTCAGATACTGGCATGTATTATGGCTGATTTAGAGCTGGCCCGACTCCATTTGTAACCTCTTTTTATTGCTAATATATGAGTGACTGGACAGTGCTTTTGTTGGTAAATCCAAGTGTCTTTTTTATCTTTCATTAGAACTTTATATTGGTTTATTCCACTAGAGTAATATATAGGAAGTTTTTTCCTGACAAAAAGGAGGAAGAAAGTTGTAACTCACAGAATTTCTATATTACTGCTGCGTATAGTTTCCTTTCTGTCAAATGTATTTGTTAGATTTATCCGCTGCCGAGTTATGCCCGCTTTTTGCATCCACACATTATAACGTACTTTAGATATTTGATACCTTCAGGTCTTGTAGCTGCTTGGAACACTGCAAAAGCCGAACCAGGTTCCATTGTTTCTATCTTTTGCTTAGGCACGCAAAATTCAACCTGGTTCCATTGTTGAACCAGGTTCCACTGCAAAATTGAAGCTAGCTCCATTGCTGTAAGCTTTTGACAATATAATTGTGTCAATACTTGAACTCTTCTATTTTTTACCTAAACGTCTAAAAATGTGCTTGATAGGTTGAAGAGGATGCAAAAGCTGCTGATGTCCTCGTGAATTATTGGGATTGCCATTGACGCTAAGAAACATGGTAACACTGCTCCTGTGAATTTTCGAGTACTTGTAGTTCTCTGGTTTTTCCTGGGAAATGGTCGGGTAAAAACTTATCCATCTTTTTAATTCTCATTTGCAGCCAAAATTTTTGGCGAAACTGAATTCATCAATCCGAAAGAGCATGAGAAACCAATACAGGAAACCAGACAATGCCGCTTACTATAACTTTTTCTTTTTAAATTCTTTTCTTATTTCTAACATGTACCTTCCATAGTTTTCATACATACAAAATATTTCTGTTACTGTGGTGGAGTAATTATTAAGATGTCTCTGAAATCACATACTCTTCACAAAAGAGTGGAGCAGCTTTGCACCAGGGCAATCAAATAGGCAGTAATGCCATTTCTTTTATTAGGTGGATTATGTAATTCACACTTCAGCTGGAGGGTTTAAACACTTAGGTGGTTGATTTGGCTGCTTTTCTTTGTTAGGTACTACATTATCTTTTATAGCTGGAGTTGCCTTTAGCTGGAGCCTGGATGTTTGTTTGGAAAGTTGCCAACCAGTCACTGCTTACAGTTGTGCATCTAGCTGCACATTTTAAATTCATGGAGTTGTGACAGAACAAGGTTAATGGACGACACTAATTCTGCTTTCCGCAGAACATTAGGTTTGATGGGAAAGGAGGTGATAGCGAGAAATCGAAGGTGGGAATGAGAAAATGGCGCCAGATGACTGTAGTGTTGGATGCTGCCGTGAGGGTTAATCGGGAGTGTGCCATCTCTGCAACTCGCCGGCATTGTCGTCTTTTTGGTCTCTTCTTTTTTGATATATGTGACAAATCCAGAAAAATAACAAAGGACAAATGCCATGCGTGAACCTTGATTTCTGGCTTCTATTTCGAGCTACGTTACCGTGTTTCCTATTTTCACCTAGAGTTCTTTATTTTTCACCATCTTCAATTCCTTAACAGGGATTTTTTTATGTTTGGAAGAATGCTGTGATGGTCATAATCGGTTCACTATCGTGAGATTAATGTCAAAGAAAGAATTGGTAATGCGTTCCTACAGCATACTCAAGAGGTGTCAAATGCGCAATGAGCCTCAAAAACCTTGCAGAAATCTATTTATGGATGAATGCAACATATAAAAACCATACAAGCTGACATGAACTCACGTAACTCAAAATTGTGACCAATCACTCTCTCTACAAGTATATGCACCTCTTTTTTATAGCCAAAGGTTGATAGATATACATAAACTGTTTTGACGGGTAAAAAAATGCTTCCAGAAATTAGCATAAGACTAATAATCCTGGCACGGATCCACCAATAGGTGTCTGGCTGGATTTTGGTGCCATTTAAGTGACTACGTATTCGCCTCTTTTTATTTATTATCAGTTATAGACTTATAGATGCCTCAAATCTTTAAAAATCACAACGCCTATTTGTCAAAGAAACAAGTAATTCATTAAAAGTACACCATTGGGGAAAAAGCTGCGCAAAATAACGTCAGAAGAGAACATACTTAACCAAAAAGAGGTACAGGATATTTCCTATCTTGTTAGATACCATGTATAAAGCTGAAGGTACAACTAAAATGTCGAATGTCTCCTCTTTTTAACGTCTGCACTACTGTGGGGGATATGAAGGTGGGTATGCAGATGCAGTAGCAGGAAGAGTATAATCATACGCACTATAACCACTCTGCCCTCCATATGATCCATGATAACTCCGCACTCCACCAACTCCAGCAGCTTCTTGCAGTGCATATCCATATTGTGGAGGAAGTGCAGCCGTACTTTGGGTGTGGGTTCCGCTATAAGCTCCAGCTTCTTGAATTGCATATCCGTATTGTGGAGGAAGTGCAGCCGGACTTGTGGTGTGGGTTCCACTATAAGCTGGAGCATATGAGACCGTGCTAGGTGCCTCGTATACACTCTGGCTGGTATAGCTATGTGCTCCTGTATATCTAACTGGTGGCACTTGATGTGATGGAGGAGGATTCCTGGAGCGGAAAGAAGGAGAGGCATTCGACAATCTTCCAGATTTAACATGCCGAGAGGTGGACGGGTCACTGGACTTGCCAGTGCCACTTCTACGGCCCCGCTTTTTTGAATGCTTGTCACGAGGAGCTGTGCCCTTTTTCCTTTTTGCTCTGGACTCCTCCAACTCTGTCACCCGTTTTTTAAGTCCTTCCAAAGAAAATTCTTGTTCAAGCTTGTGATCTTCCACACATTTTATTATAGCCTTAGTGGCTTCCCACTCTATAATGTTAGCTTTGTCCTGAGAAACAAGTCACACTTATCCAATACTGACAAACAAATAAATAAAAAGAAAGGGAACATATGACTACAGCAGCAAAAAAGAACAGATTCATAATGTAGATGCACGAATAACTGAGAATCTCACAAAAGGATTTACAGCAGAAGGTGCTTGTACAATTTGAGGTGGTCCTTAAAGTCTACACTCTACAGTCTTTAATCTGCACGCTCTATTCCTGTTATGATTTACCGACAAAATTACTGTTTTTATGGAAATTAGCCTATATCATCATATGACACTGCTTTTCCCGCATAACTTTGGTTTAAAATGACATAGGCAGGCATGGATTTAAAAACTATTTATGCAACTTCTACAACTATGTCCTCCATAAAGATTAAAAGAATGGCATTAATTACTTTTAGAATCATCAATTTACTCTGTAATCCTCCTGCAACTGATTTAGCTTAGTATTGAGAATATAAAAATTTCAGGAAAATGAAATGAAAAGAGAGTTCTTTTTCCTTTCCTTCGATGCGGGGGATTCACTCATCTCTCTGTTGTACTGAACACAATAATGTGTTTGTATATCACTTCTCATCCAGGCAATTTTTGTTTTTTTAAACCACCCAGGCAACCACAATGAGGAGAAAACAGAGGGGCTGGACAGAGAAATATACGCACCACTGCAGCTGAACTAAATCTTCCCTTCTTTGAAATGTTATTAGAATTTCTTCGACAGTTCCTGAGATATGCCTTAAGAAGTGAGACTGGAGGGAATCGCTCTGCTAATCCCGACTCGTAAGCAAAATATACTGCTTCAACCTCTTTGCCACTCTTCACCAGCTCTTCAATAATATCTGATCAAAGAGAAGGTAACATAGTCATCTTCTATAGTAATGAATGCAAGTCCAACAGTCAAAGGAATCACAAAAAACCATAAAGCTCATGGCCCAAAAGCAAATAGCTGGATTCAACAACTTCCCGGTTCCAAGCTAACACAGGTCCCTAAAAAATACTCTCTGTTCCACCAAACAGAAATTCAGGCACCATTTACAAATTTACATATTCAAAGTCATGAGAAATTAGAGTAGAATTTAACTTCACATATAATCATATTGTATGCAGACAACTGCAGAAATTAGAATGAAGAAAATCTTTTTTTTTATAACCGTGGTGTCCGGGCCAGCTTCCGCGCACCTCGACTAATTCCACGGGATACCTGTCACCTCCCACCAGTAACACCTTCCACCAGTACCAGGTACCAGAAAACTCTATCCAGGTTTGAATAGATGAGAAGAAACCACCTACTATTTTTTTACCTCTGCTAGGATTTGAACTTGAAACCTCATAGTTCTCACCGCATAGAATGAAGAAAATCTTCAAGCATAGTACAGTTTAAAAGGCAAGTAAAAGTGTCAGGCAACACATCCTAAAGGAGGAAAAAAATCCGTGTTACATATTCCAATTACTAGCAAAACATGAAATAGGTTCTTTTTCAATTTGAATAATGTACCAGAGCAAGTTAAGAAAAATAATTTTTTGAACAAGAAGCAAGTTAAGAAAAATATCTTAAAACCAAATATTACTCCCTGCGTCCCAATTTATGTGGCGGTATTTGACTCAGCACAGAGTTTAAGAAAGAAAGGAAGAATTTTGAAACTTGTGGTTTAAAATAAATCATAGATATTTGTGTGGTTGTAAATCACTTCATTAAGAGTAAAGTAGGAAATTTAAAGTGAAATTGTTTCTAAATAAGTAAGTATGACATTCTCCTTGGGACAGACTAAAAAGAAAAGTATGACACATAAATTGGGATAGAGGGAGTATATATTTAAAGCAACTTAAGTTTCTCTAGCCAACTAAATTCAAATTTGGCATGCCTACATAGAGGATACTGGATATAAGATTTTTCAATGACATTAATTCCACAGATAAATGGTGTTCATAAGAACCCACCCCCTATTTTGTTCCCAAATCCAAAGGCAACCGCAAGCTTTGGCATATCTTTCCTGTTAGCAAACTCCATCACCAGCTTCCTTAGGAACTCCTCTTCAAACCTCTCTTTTAGTGCAAATGATATAACCAACTGCAAAAACATTGTTGCTTCAGCAGCGCATACTCCACTGGTCCTCTCCCCACTACCCATAACTCCCTTCCATTTCTCCAACACCCTTGCTGCCCTCTCCTTCAAACTCCTCCCCGCACCATAACCCCCTTCCACAACTGGCCCAACTGACTGAACTAACATATCACACGCCCACCTCCTATCTGCCCCTATCATCTTCCCCTCTACCTTCATCCCCACAAACTCCTCTGCAGCATCCAAGATCAACCTGAAAGAAACCCAGCAAAAAAATGATAAAAATAAGATGACCAAAAACACTCAACATAATATACAATGTGGGCTTCAAAGTCTCTACTTTGCTTTGGCATATGCAATGACAACTCTGATTCTGACCAAACCTGTCTCCTCCCCTACCCACCCGCCCTCACCCAAACCCCCAAGCCCCGAAAAGAATAAAAGAAAACAAACATAGAAAACCTAAAAGATGCATAATTATGAAAGCCAAGGAAGGCATTAATACAGTAGGGTTTTAGGTGTTCGATTTCAATTACTTCTCCAAAAATAATTAAGTATTTTTAAGTCGTGGGATATGGAAGAAGTCCCTCAAACGAGAGTTGAGCAACCAAAAGTTATTAGTCCAGATCACTGTTGTTTAGCTCATACCCTTATTTGTTTTCTACACAATTCATTGGTTCACAAGGAAATTCATGTTGCCTCGTCGAGAACATATTTGTATTGAGGATGCCAAACAGTTTTAAAATTGTGAATTGGTTTATTTCCCATTTTCTGTATCTAGGTCTCCATCTTGACGGATCCCCATATCTAGAGAGTCTATAGTAAACCTTTTTTTTAAATGGATCTACAATAAACTATTACACTATCAAAACAATACAGAGAGCTGTTGACGACACGGATAAGTATTTCTCTAGAAGGACCAAGAAGAATATGTGCTAGGTAGGGGATAGGCCATAGAGTTATGTTTATATGCTTGTTGAGTTGGATGTGCATAAGCCATAGAAACCTTGTGGACGGTGAAAAGGAGCCACATACGTCCTACCCAATTAAGGAATGGTCTTTGTTGAGACTTGTAAATGTCCTTTTTTTCTAATAGGTGTGATGTGCCCAAGAGCCGATTTTATCATGAAATATGGTTCGAAGCAGGATGAGTAAGGTGGGGCGTATTCTCATTTCTTTCGGTCATCCAGTTCCTACTTTCTAAGCTATTGATGAATCCAATTATGAGGGAATCCTCATCTCATACATCAGGGACGAAATGAAAGAAGATAGGATAGACTTTGATAACTTAACTTTATTTGTTGAGATTTCTTTAGTTTATTGATTCAAAGTTGATGTTTTTTAGCACGCGTGCCTCCATCCCCCAAAAGGATGTATATTCCGCACATTTTGTCCTGTCATGCATTTACTCCTACTCCAAGATTTGGTTCACGATTTTATCATTATGTAACAAATTGATTGATATCTTTACTTGTCTAAATGCCTATCCACTTAGCTCTGTGCTAGATTGGAAAGGCTAAACCAAAATCTGAACTGCAGCTACTGATAGTCTCTTTGGACTAAAAGCAAGAAACCGTGCCATCTTCTGGTTTCACTTAAACAACAACTACTACGCCTCAATCCCTCC